TGCTTGCCAATGGCTCACACCTGTAAGCCTAGCACTTTTGGAGGCTGAGGTGGGAGGATCACTTGAGCTCAGGAGTTCAAGACCAGCCTGGGCAGCATAGTGATACCCCGTCTCTACAAAACATACAAAAAATAGCCAAATGTGGTGGTGCATGACTGTAGTCCCAGCTATTCAGGAGGCTGAGGCAGGAGGATCACCTGAGCCCAGGAGTTTGAGAGTTTGGTGAGTTGTGATCATGCCACTGCACTCCAGCCTGGGCAACTGAGTGAGACACCAAATCAAACAACAACAACAACAACAACAAATGAAAAAAAAAACCAAATGTCTATACAACCCAGTGATTCCACTTCTAGATATATGCCCCCCAAAATCAAGCTGGTCTTAAAGAAATATTTGTACGCCCGTGTTCATGGCAGCATTATTCACAACAGTCAAAAGGTGGAAATAACCCAAGTGTCCATCAGTGCATAAAAGGATAAGCCAGTTGTGGTGTCTGCAGACCCCAGAATGTCAGTCATCCTTAGAAGGAAGGCAGTTCTGGCATATACCGCAACATGGCTGAGCTGTGGGCGGTCATGCCAGGTGAAATCATCTAGTCATCAAAGGACAAACACTACAGGTTTCTGGTCATATGAGGTACTCAGAGCCTTCAAATCCACAGAGACAGAAAGTGCATGGTGGCTGAGGAGCTGGGGGTAGGAGTTGTTTAATGAGAACAGAGCTTCAGTTTTGTGAGATAAAGAGTTCTGCAGAGGATGGTGGGATGGTTACACAATAGTGTGCTCAGATGCCGCTGAACTGCACTCAAAAATGATTAAAATGATGCGTTTTATGGTGTGTGAATTTTGCCACACATGAGCCAAAGATGCATTTGAAGATGACTGGTTGGGGATCTCAGAATGGTCAGAATGTTCTGGAAGCCCCTGAGCTCATGTTATGTATTTCACGGTCCCCAGCCAAACCCACAGCAAGTGTGGAGTCTATTTACTATCCTGACCTTTAAATACATCAAAAGCGTAGGTTTAATTACTGCAGAAATGGCTGTGAAAATACAGCAGAAATGCTTTCTCTAATTACAGTTGCACTACATTTTCATTTGTGTCAGCGTCCTCTTTGAAGATTCTTTAAGATATTTTAAGTTTGCCTCTGAGCTGGGCTCGGTGGCTCAGCCTGTAATCCCGTGCCTTTGGGAGGCAGAGGTGAGTGAATTACCTGAGTACGTGGGTTTGAGACCCGCCTGGGCAAACTGGCAAGACCTCATCTCTACAATAAATAAAAAAAAAATTAGCTGGGCGTGGTAGCGTGCACCTGTAGTTCCAGCTACTTGGAAGGCTGAGGTGGAAGGATCACCGGAGTCCAGCAGGTCGAGGCTGCGGTGGCCGGGAGTGGCCACTGAACTCCAGTCTGGGCAACAGAGTGAGACTCCAGCTCAAAAAAAAAAAAAGTTTGCCTCTGAATTGAGATTTTCTAAGCATATTGAAAGAATACCTAGCGATTACATAATTAATAAAGTTCATTTGTTAACTTTAAATTGGATTCATTTTTCTATTTATTATCTATCTCACACATTTATTAAGCACCTACTGTGTACCAAACTCTGAACAAAGCATCAGGAATTCAAAGGTAAATTGGCAATGTCCAAGCTTTATGGTGTGAATGTGAAAGGAGGGCACACAGGATCCCATGTGGGGTGTGGTCAGGAGTGGGACACCTGCCAAGTCCACAAGCAGGCCGAGGCTGCACACAGGACACTCTCAGGGCTGAGCCTGGAGGAGGCTAATAGGAATTCATTAGATGCAGACCTGAATGTCCCGTGCAGAATGCCTGCCTCAGAGGACTTGTCAACAACCAGGAGGAATCAGTTCTCATGAGATTTTAAAAAGAGAAGCAACAAGGTCAGCAGAAGTCTACAACGTGATAGCATCCTCTCAGCAAGGAAAGCTATCCCTCACTCCAGGGAACACCTGTGCTTGGCTGTCCTTCCTGCATCTGCCAGGTTCTAGACCAAGCCAAGACGGGGTCCCTGCCTCATCACAAGGCATGAGTCCCGGAAGAAAAGAAACCAAAACCTGCTACCAGCAGCGAAACAGCTGTGGTCCTGAGACTCGTGCTGCCCTGTCTGTCCACACTTCCCTTCTGAGTCATTTCCTCACTCAGAGAGCAGAACCTGGAGAAAAAGAACCTGTTACTCCATCTCTGTAAGGAAGACACCGATCTGAGCACAGCACTGGAGGGGCCTCCGACAGGACAGGCCGGATGCTTAAGGCACAGCCTCAGAGACAGGCCACTGGTGTGGCCCTCAACCTTCAGGGGACAGAGATGTGTCCTATTTCTCAGACATGAGAAATAAAATGAGTCAGAATGGTTATGAAACATTCAAAGAGGATTTGCCAAGCAGAAAGAACAGTTAAGAAGCCTTTGATAAACAGAACTTTTCACCATCCTGTTCGTGCTGGGTTCTGTGTTGAGAATAAAGAGAAAGAACACTCTGTCCCCAAAGGCCCCATGGTCTGGTCAGGGGAGTACACAATGACAAGGGAATTAAGTGATAGCTTAAAAGTAGCAAATTGATACGCACCGAGTGCTTACGGTGTGCCAGCTCTGCACTGAAGGTTTTATGCATTATTTTACTCAGTCCCACAATAATCCCATGAGGCAGGTCTGATTATTCCCATTTTATAGGTGAGGAGAGTGACGAGCGGCTGGGTGACTAGTCCCAGCTTCCAGAGCTAGGAAGTGATGGAGCAAGATGCTGTTCCCCCAGGCCCTGCCTTGAGCCACTACCCCAGCGGGTCTCAGCCCTGGCCGCCCACTAGTAGAATTAATGAGGGGACTTTAACAACACCAGTGCCCAGGCCCTTCCATAGACCAACTGAATCAGAGCTTCTGGGGTTGGCCGAGGTATCAGGGTTTTCTAAGAGTTCTGGATTCCCTGAGCCTGCAGCGTACCGGTGAGTAGAGAGGAGGCCACCAACTGCTCCAGGAAGCAGGAGGCCAGGGAACTTCAGAATGGCCTCAAGCAGCAGCAGTGGTGTGTGGAGACTTCTCCAGAGATGGCGGGGTTCTGTCACCCTAAAAATGCGAGCAGGGGAGAGGCAGGGTGTGGTGAGCCACAGCACCCTGGAGTAAGGACTGCACTCCCAGGGAAAGAGTCACAGAGGGCAAGGGCTTGGAGGGCCAGCCATCCTTGTGACCTTCTTGGGCACGGTGCTGGCCTGCAGAGCCTTTCGGGTGAGCGGCAGGGGGCTGGCTTTACCTGTTGTGACAGTAACATCAGTCAGGTGACCAGGCCACTTCACGGCACAGATTCCACCTGTGCAGGGAGTTAAGAATCTAGAGGTCTCACGGTGGGAAAACAGCCAAGAAACAGCTTCTGGGTAGTCTGTTGTGTAATCCAGCAGCAATGCTTACGGGGGAATTCTCCTAATGCGGAAAATGATGTTCAATGTTAGATTTTTCAATTCGGCATTTGAAATCATGTCTGTGTTAAGATGGGGAAGAAAAGGAGGCATTTCTTTCCAGTCTCAAGACAAGGAAGCAGGCACAGCATGGAGTGTGCCCACATCAGGGAGTTGTATTCAGACACTGGTCCCAGTTCCCTTCTAAGCCCTCTGAGATTCTATTCACTTAGGAGGAAATAAACCTGAGAAAACAGTAAAGTCTGTTGGAATATACATTTCCCTGGGAACTATTGGACAAACTGTGCTCTTTCTGCTAGATTTCCATCCACTTCCTTAGCAGAATAGGAGGGACCCACATGTAGAATTTGGTCCCGATAAGGAAACTCCCTGGCAGGAAACAGCTCTGTGGATGGGAGTGATTGTGTTGTTTTCTATTGCCCAATGCCCTCAGTGCTGACCTCACATATGCCAGAGAGTCAAGGACCGTGGGAAAAGCAGTGGCGTCTGCTCGTCGACAGTAGGTGCAGGTGGCTGCTGGGGGCTGCAGGAGGCCATGTCACAGCAAGGCAGACCCTCTGTCTCCTCAGAGTAACTTGGTGATGAATTTTTGTCCCCAACTAAGCTTCTAGGTTGGAACAGAGGATGACGGGTCATAGGAAGGGCGACATAGGAAATCGCCTGTCATCATTATGAGCTACAAGTTTGGAACATAATTTATGAGGAATGAGGTAAGAAGATGCAGCCACTGTGGCGGGTGCCCTGTCCACTGTCCATGTGGTGGTCTGCAGGGTCCCACTGTGCCCGGGTGTCCTGGTCCACAAGTCATGCAACAGTAACAGGTTGGAAATGATCATTTCAAATGACATTTGATACCTCACACTGTGCATTTCTCCCAGGAGATAGAAAGTTCTGTGGCCCTTTTATTCACAGCAAGGGAAGCAAAGCAAGTTTCAACAGCATTTAGACATTCAAACTTAAGAGAAAGTTCTAGAGGCAAATTTGAGAAATTTAACAGGGAAGGTTTTTTTTTTTTTTTTTTAAATAAACTCGGGAACTAATTGCATTTTAACATAATGTATAATCTGTAAAGATAAAGCAAAATTTTACAAAAACAAAAATGTTAAGTGCCAGATAGCGCTGAGCACACAGCAATAATTTACGCATTCCTGAATCTCCTTTTAAGGACAGAGCCTATCAATTATCCCGAGTCTGTGTGGTGAGTGAGAAGAAAGCACAGGTTTTTGCAAATAAGACTGAAGCATAGAAAATGCCAACAACTTGCCGAGACTGGGCAGGGGTGGAGGAACCCCAACGCCCAGCCCTGTCTTCCTCCACGGGTCCAGCAAGTGCCATCTCCCAGGTGCAGCCAGGCAGCGGTGGCTTGACTTTCCCATCCTGCTACTTGGTTGGCATCGTCGCTGCGCACCAGGAGACTCTAGCTTGCTCATCTTGGTTTGAACCTATGAGGTGAAGTCACAGAGCCCACAGCAGCTGTGGTACAGTCACAAGACTTCCTCTTCTTCCAGAATCCTAATGGCGTAGCCATCATGACTTATTCCAGACAGCCCTTACAGAAGCGGGAGTCAGAGGTGGCTGTTGTCAGGAAGAGGAGTCCCTGAGGTTGAAACAAGGAGGCTCTGCGGCTTTCCTCCTGCCCCGGAGGGTACTGAGGACCTTACGGTAGGAGTGTCTGAAGGTGGGATTAGAGAAGCAGTAGACCACGGGGTCCAGCACGCCATGCAGGTAGGCGAGGCTTCCTGTGATGTCCAGGGCATGCATCATCACCCGCAGAGACCCACAGCTTCCCAGGCCCCAGAGAACATGCGTCAGGGCCCTGGCTAGGAACCCAGGCAGGAAGCACAGAGCAAACAGTACCACCACCACGGTGACCAGCGCCTTGGCCCGATGAAGCTTGGGCTGCTTCTCAGGGTCTCGGAGTCTTCTCTGGAGAGTCCTGATGAGGCTGGCATTGCAGAACAAGATGAGGCCGAAGGGGAGACCACACTGGAAGAAGAAGAGAGCTTCCTGCCAGGTGGCGCTCAGGGAGCCTTCTGCCCTGGGGTAGAAACTGGAGCACTCAGGGAAATCCTGGGCAGCTTCAGAGATCCCCAGCAGGCCTGGAAGGGTGAGGGTCCCTGCCAGAAGCCAGACCAGGACTGAGAGCCCCTGGGCCGCACGAGAGGACAGCAGGTTGACTTTGAGCCGAGGGTGGACCACATGGAGGTAGCGGTCCAGGGCCACCGCAGCCAGGAAGACCACCCCCACGCCATGGCTGAGGTCCAGCAGGAAGCGCAGGGCCCGGCAGGTGGCATAGCCCAGGCCCCAGGCCCGGTGGTTCAGGTGGAAGGCAGCCAGGAAGGGCAGGCACGCAGCCAGCAGCAGGTCGGCCAGCACCAGATGGAACAGGTAGACAGCGTGGGGCTTCCACACCCGCAGCCGGAAGAAGAAGGTCCACAGTGCCACAGCGTTGCCCATCAGGCCCAGCACACACTCCAGGCCCAGCAGGATGCCCACAGCCATGTCCACCATGGTGTCGGGCGCTGAGCAGTTGGGGAACCCCATGGCCCGGCCACGGCAAGGCTGGACCAGAGACGCACACAGGGGCAGACGCGGGAGAAACTCTGACTGTGCTCCTTCCTATGAAAAGAGAGAAAAAGGCTTTCTCCTGCTTCTGAGGGGGCAGGTCCTCCTTGTTCTCACCAAGCAAAACCATGGAGCCAACTGTAGAACAGATCCCAGAGTCAGCAAGTTGTATCTGGGGAAAGAGGATCCACAGGGCTGGGGAAAGTCCCTGGCAGTTTTGTTCTGTTTTGTTTTGCCCTAAATAAAGGGAAATTGTGTTTCACTTCACATCACTGGGCTGGGATTCAAAGGCCAGGGGACAATGTACTGAGAAGGCTTGAGAAATTGGAGGGATGGGGCTTTGCTTCCATAGTCGTGAAAGAGGGATCTTGAGGCGTTTAATGATGAGAATACCTCTGTGCCTGCAGACAATTAAATGATGATGGAACCACAGACTGTTCTGTAGTTTGGATACGCTTCAGGGGACATTTCTCCTTCCCCTTTATAAAATAAGGACAAATTGAGATCCCCTGCTGGATCTCAGTTACACTCACTGGCCAGATCTGGGTACCACATTGACTTGAGAGGATTTAAGATGACCTGGAGAGTCCACAACAGACTCTTTTCATTCATGCTTTTATTCTATTAAATATAGATTTTATTTTGTTTTCCTGCTGAGCAGTCTTTTTACCTCCTTCAAAACTTAGATGAGGACAAACCATGGCTCAGGGCCAGGTCTTGAAAGCATGATAAGTCAAAACTTGGTCAAGACTCATAGAATACAGAAGAACGTCGGGTCCATGACCCAGAGGCAGGCTCTGTGTGTCTACCACTGTGTCTCCAGTGACAAAACCATGCCAGGTATGTAAAAGCACAGTACACAGGTGATGAAAAAATGAGCCCATTATCCCATCCTCACTCACCATGGACCCTGCCTCACCTCCGTCTTTGCCCTCTGTAGACCCTGCCTCACCCCCATCCTCACCCGCTGTCGACCCTTCTTCATTTGGGTCCTTACCCACTTTGGCCCTAATAGATCTTGGCTCTTACCCACTGTTGACCCTAATTCATCTTCATCTTTACCCACTGTTGACCCTATTTATCTTGCTCCTGTTTGGCCTAGTTTGGGTTTTGAAGTCAAGTAGAATTTAGCTACAGTTCTTGTTTCTCTACTTGGCTTCCGTGTGGTTTTGAGAAAGCAAATTAATTCTTTGTTCTCCAGCTTCCTCGTCTAGAAGATGAACACTTTCACCCATCCTTGCGGAGCTATTGTGAGTGTTGGAGAAACTCTTATAGTAAAGCCCTTTGCACCCTTTCTGGAACTCCATAGGTGCCTAATACCTTTACTACATTTATTAACCTCTCTCTGATGCTTAGACTTAAAAAAAAAATCCTTTTTGTCTCCTAACATGATCAACTATTTTTGCACTAAACATCAGTTCTAGGTATTTTGATGCCTTAAATTATAAGATCGAGTTCTAAGGCTTTAAGAAGGTCTCTGTAATAATTATTACTAAATTGACTGCATGTTTATGGTGTGTCAGGTACAGTTATGGGCTAAGTTAACTCAGTGAACTTCACAACAGGGAGATGAAGCAGCAACAGCCTGAGCTCTATTTTATGAATGAAGGCATGGAGGCATGGTGAGGTCAGGCAATTTACTTCAGGTCACAGGCTGGTACCAACCAGAACCCGGGTTTGCAGCTTTCCTGTGGGCCCGGGGATGATGGACCAGGCTCACTCCTTTGACATCCCCAGAGCTGCTGATGCATACGGTATCGAGGGAATCTGTCTGGTGTTTTTTGGTTTTCGTTTTGTCAGGGCTTTCTTTCTGACTGGACTGCTAGCCCACATAGCAAGTTTTCTGTTGGGCAAGTTCTCCTGCCTCTCTGTTTCCTCAGAAAGTGGCCATGGAGATTCCTCCAAGCATCCGGAGAGGTAGAAATGTCCCAGCTAGAACCGCCATAAGGACACCTTCTATGGACGAGCATCTGCCAGTTGCTTGTCATTATGAAACTGTTTATTGGGAACGAGAGACTGAAATACAGTTGAGGGTTTCAGGTGGCAACTACATTGTCTCATTTGCAGGAATGTTGTCAGGCACAGAGTGACACCTAGAAAAGCTGGTAACGAATTCAGTTCTTCAGGGGTAGAAGTTATGTAAATGCAAGAAAGCAAGGGATTTCCATCTCTTTCTCTCTACACACTGAAAACTTTAACAGAACTTAAAAACTACCCTTATAATTGCAGATTTCAGTTTATACCAATAACTTTCTAAATTATAGTCTAGCTCAATTGGGAATATGAACATTAATCATTTCATGTTTTCCTTTTTTAAAAATTCTGCTCCTTTTTCTCAGTACACTGACTTCCCTTCCTTTCTTCTGAAGGACATTGACTTATACTTCATTTCATCTTGTCTTTCATGTTACAGTATTTTAGTTCCTTCCTGCAGAATCTTGTCGTCCTCAGAAACCATTTTTAATAATCATTACTATTTCTTCAGTACTCTACCTGTTTAGAAAACTTCTCGGTGTTTATTTCAATTTTTATGGTCTCCATTTTATTTATATTCCTGTTCTTAATTTTAAGTGAAACTGAATCATTGCTTTGAATCAACACACATTAATTTAATTTTATGCATTTTTCCATTTCAGTTTTTCTTTTTTGTCTGACAATAATCAGAAAAATGGTTATTTATAAAGACTGAAGAAAACTCTGACTTAGATTCTCCTGCTACTTATTGCAAAGTTGCCGACTGTGAAGTTTAGAGACACAGTATAACTTTCATAAGACTGCCCCTACTCTGACACCAACTTTGAATTTGGGGGACCTCAAGACCATGCTCAGTTTTGATAATTCTCTAGAAGGACTTATAGAACTCACTGGAGCTTTTATACTCATGATTATAAATTATTACAGTGAAAGGACACAAATTACAATCAGCCAAGTGAAGAGGTGCATGGGACAGTGTCCAGGAAATAGTCAATGTGGGCTTCTGTTGTCCTTTCCCTATGGAGTCAGGACAGCGTCACTTTCCCAGTATCGATATATGACAATCTACATAGAGTATCACCAACCAGGGAAGCTCATCTGAGCCTCAGTGTCCAGAGTCTTTACTGGGCCCATTCCATGGGCATGGCCGACCACCACACAGCTGATCCTAGTCCCCAGCTTCTCTGGAGGTTGCATGGACACTGCAGGACCTGAAGCCCCCATCCTATATCACATTGTGGCTCCAAAACCCCCCATCCTAAATCATATTAATAGTATCTGACTGGCTGAAGACCCCCAGGCAAACAAAGACATTCATCTCAGACATGACTTTCCAAAGGCTTGGAGGTCTCCTCCCAGTGGCTGGGAGCCAAGATTAGACCTCATTAACTTTGCCTTTTGGGCAAAGTTAAATTCTTTACTATACACTTATTTATTCAACACATTTAGAATACACTGAGTGTTATGTATTTTGTGCTGAGAATAAACATGTGTGTAATGCTTATAATACCTCCTAACTTTAAGAGGCTCATACTCTGGTGGGAAAGACCAGTGAGTGAGCAGACTTGCAGAGAGCAAAATACAATAAAATAGAATGTGCGGCTGCAGTGGAGGGTGGGAGGGAATGGAGTCAGGGAACAAGGAGAATGGTGACGAGTCAGTTGAGTGATGGGTGAGTTTCTAGGCAGGGACAGTCCTGCTGGGCAGAGGAGACCACACACTGGGTATGCCCAGCTGTGGGGCATTTATGGCATATTGGGAAGGCTACCCATATTTTCCAGTCGTGGTTGGTGACCTTTTTATAGACTTCCAAAGTCCATAACATCTCATTTTCCTTCCCTAACCAAAAAACTGTCCATCAGTCTAATGCCTGCTTTTCCTCTGACTGCAGAAACATCTAACTGACGTGTGCTGGCTCTACTTCCAGGTCCAACTCTAGGTAACGCCTCACTTTTGTTGTCTTATTTTCACCACCAGTCTTGGGGAGGTTGAACCTCAGGAGAAAGGAGCTCTGGCCATTTGCAAGAAAAACGGAATCATTTTATATGAAGAAGCTAGAAATAGCCAGGGACAGTGGACAGTCTCAGGGAGAGAAGTTACAGTTCCTATGAACTTTGAGCATGTTTGCGTTTATGGTTGGAATAAAATAATTTTAGCGTAGCCAGGCTCGGTGGCTCAGCCTGTAATCCCGTGCCTTTGGGAGGCTGAGATGAGTGGATTGCCTGAGCCCGTGGGTTCGAGACCCGCCTGGGTAGCGAGACCTCATCTCTACAATAAATCAAAAAATCAGCCAGGCATGGTAGCGCAAGCCTATAATTCTGGCTACTTGGAAGGCTGAGACGGAAGGATCGCCAGAGCCCAGCAGGTCGAGGCTGCGGTGGCCGGGAGCAGCCACTGCACTCCAGTCTGGGCGACAGAGTGAGACTCCAACTCAAAAAAATAATAATAATAATTTTAGCAACCTCAGACTATTTCTATAATGTGACTATAGTCCAAAGAATGAGCTATGAATAAAATGAATATATCCTGCATAAGAAAGCATTTTGAACATCATTGTATTGTCATAATATACAATTTTAATACCACAAAATAAAAAATTTAATGAAAATTGAATAAAAGTATTGAAACTGCAACACTCCTTCTAAACATGAAATGTGCGAATGTGCTTTTAGTAAAACAGCTGTTGTTAGGTTTTTCATTTTCTTCACTTTTATTTCAACAGGGTGAAAATAAACAGTTTCAAGCTCAAAGTGAAGGGAAATCTCTAAACAGGTGGGCACTCAGGAGGAAGATGTGAACAGAAGTATGAGTGAAAGCACATTATCAGTGAATAATTAGACTAGATTTAAAAAGATGAGTTCTTGTGGGTTAATTGTTACTGGAGAAACTAATTTAGCATGTCAAAAAATTATATTAGCTGGGCTCGGTGGCTCAGCCTGTAATCCCGCCCTTTGGGAGGTTGAGGTGAGTGGATTGCCTGAGCCCGCAGGTTCAAGACCTGCCTG